CTGGGGCCCACCCAGCCTCCTCTACAATGGGTACCGGGGTCCTTTCCCGGGGGTAAAGCCGGCCGGGGCGTGATGCTGACCACTCACCCCCATCTAGTGCCGAGGTCAAGGAAGAGAGGAGCTATACCTTCACTCCCCCCCAAGCGCCTACATGGCGTATAGTGGGACAGCTTTACTTTTTTAGCTTTGTTTTAGCTTTTTACTTCACGGAATGTGATCATATGATGGTCGGTCTACCATTTTCTAGAATAGTTTCTAGAATAAATACTAAGTGATCAAGACAACACTTGATCGTTTCTTTTAATTGTCTATCTACACTTATGAAATCACTGCCACTGCCACTAAAGATGGCTGACTAACGCGAAACAAGTCATCAGGTGAAGTCGTACAGAAAAGTTGTGATATGTGTAAATGGTAATTGCAATAGTCTGTATAATGCGTAGGAAATGTTTTCTGATGTGAACTAGGGCAGTCGACTTGGCTAAGCGATGAAATGTAAAAGGTTAAACTGTCAATGCACCTAACCTAAAACTGACACGTCATTAATGCAAAAAGGGTCATCGAGGTTAACCCATGAGCGTTCTAGACGTTGCTATTGAATAGAGATTAATGCCATCTTGACGTTTCAGCAAGTTTTTCCCCCAGTGCAATCACATTTGTTGTGACGCTTAAATGGCCATGGAGCCATTCTGGACATCGTGATTGCCACGGGAGAGCTTGTTTTTACTGAGAATTACATATTGCTTGAAGCTGATTCTCTTCTGGGTTCTTACCAACGTTTCAGAGGCCCTTGCTGCCTCTATCATCAAGGGCGATTGAGGCAGCAAGGACTTCTAAAACGTCGGTAAACGTTTATCAGACTACACGGCGCTGCAACCCAGAAGACAGCCAACAGCCATCTTCGTCATAACTTAAGATCCTACTTGAGGACTGCTTCAAGGTTACTTTTGTATATTTAATATTATTAGAGGAATTACATCAAGGATGTTGCGATGGGTTGGGCATACGGTACGCGACTAAGGAAATTTTGTTAAATGATTTGAAGCTTTCGCAGCGACGTTTCAGGGACCATCTGTCCCCTGATGGTTGACGCGGATGATCACCCGAGAAAATTTTATTGAAATTTTTATAGAAACGTGTTTTAGGGTAACGAGAGGATAATATGATTACAGGCACGTTTTGGCAGTGCAAATTAAATTGAATGGTTCTAACACTGACTCAGTGATGGGATGTGCAGTAGCTTGTTTAAAATCTGTGATCCTGATGTCAAAGAAATACTCGTCCCCGAAATGCCATGTGATTTTTGTTGCCATTCTGAACACTATTTATTCAGTCGCGTCTCGGGACTTTGGTTAGGACTGTGTGAATTTACGGATTTACACACATAATTTATATTCCTTGGAACAAGCAAGTTTAACCTATTCTGCCTCGTTCTACCCACTTGTCTGTTCCCATACACGCTGTAAAATATTATCTTGGGCAGTTTATGGTATTTCATTTCAAGATAGGCGATTCGTCCATTTATATATGTAATGGAATGATTTTTCTTAGAGAGATGATAGTAGAAATGTTAAAAGTAAAGTGAGACACAAATATACAAAATTATTTATGAAAAATATTTAGACGTTTAGATTTGAGACTTTCGCGGCGAGTACAATCAATAAAATCTTCTCGGGAAATCAGCCGTGTTAACTGGTTGCCCGAGAAGATTTTATTGATTTCGATGTTAATTTTTCAGATTTCGTATGTAAATTTGATCAGATTTGTTTGGTAGTTAATCAAGAATGTCTGTAACCAGTATTTGATAGCAAAATGAAGGCGGCTTGGTTTTGCATTAAATTGCTTACACGATGGCTTGCAGTAAAATCTCAGTTGATCCCATACTGTGCTACCTGATGACGTTCAAGAAGAGGTCACAAGAAGATGCTATTGTTGACAGTAAGAATCGACCAGTAGAATCACATCCCGCGTGCTAATGCATCCTGGTGGCCTCTCTTCTGATTGGCTCACAGCAACTCGCGAGTTCGACCCGCGGCGAGTTCATTGTCTTCAAATCGCAGCTTCTTTATTCTCGCCACGAGCGTCCCTCTCTCTCTCTCTCTCTCTCTCTTTAGTCGTGACGTCTCTTCATTTTGTTCTTTCTGGTTTCAGTCGTCTGGCACGATCTTCTTCTGAACGCGGTTC